ATCAAAAGACATCTGAATTGTATTCCCTGATGAATACAACGTTTTGTAGAGGAAATCAGGGCACAGCTGGCACTTTCAACTCTGGAATCGGAAGGCCGTGACTGGAGGAAAATGCAGGTGGGCAACCCCTGTGGCCTGATGAAGTAAGGAGGGGTTGAAAAGTTATTTGGGGCGGCGGCTGCACGCCGCAGCCCGCGGGCCCGTTTGGCCTGCCGTCCTCTCGCCACTGTGTGAGGCCGCTGTGGTCCCACGACGGCAGTGCAGCACGGGCCACGGAGGCCAAACAGTAATGGACAAGCAAGTAATGGACAACCAAGACACGCAGGAATGACACAAAAGCTATGCAAGCCCGGGCGAACTGGCGATAATTCTCCAGAACAAGTGAGGGGAAGAGGGATGGGAGCCTGAAATTTCAACAGAGTAAACAATGACCTCATTCATTCTTGCTGGGAAGGTTTCATACCTGGTGTTTGCCAAGGGAAGGGCTGACTTTTTTCAGCACATTTAAGCAGCAGCAGCAGCAGGAAAAAAAACAAAAACAAAAAAATGCTGCCAGGAAACTACTTCTCTTCTACACACATTTAAGCAGCAGCAGGAAAGGAGAGATGCATAAGGAAGATGGCCCACCCCTGCCCCGCCACAGTCACCCCTACGTGGAAATCGGTGTCTGGGAGAGGAGCCCAGCATGGGTAACAGCAGGGAACTGAAGGACGTACTGCAGAAAGGGTTATCACACGCTGCCCGGGGTGGGGGGCAGAACAAGCCCCCAAAAGCGATTTCACACACAGCTTTCCATAAAAAGAGATGCAATGCCAGATTCCATTCTGAAAAGGAGCAGCTGAAGTAGGGGGACAGGAAGCCTCGGGAGGGCATAAGCCCTGTGTCTCGGGATGGGACGTCTACTGTCCTTTAACCCTTGGGCTTTTTATGCCCAGGGAGTGAGCCATGGTGACTCACACTCCAGCATTCCGTGCTGTCTGGTACACGGGACTGCCTGCGAGGGCGGAGCTGTTCTAAACCTGCTCCATTGCCCCATCACCTGAAATGAGGACCCTTCAAGCATCTCCAGGGTGCGGAGGTAGCTTGGCAATGAGTTACCCTGGGGAACTGAGGATGAGGGATGTTTCCAAACGTCTGGCTGAGGTGATCAAGCACAGTATCAAGGTGATGCTACTATTCACCGAGAAAGGAAATAACAGGGAAGGAAGAGGGATGAAAACGAGCAGGTCCATTGTGAACATGTGATTGTAGCCAGAATGGCTCCCCTGAACCCCACCAAGGTGTCCTAATTTCCAGAACCAGTGAATGTTAATTTACACGGCAAAGGGAACTAAGGCTGCCCATCGGCTGATCTCAGACAGGGAGCGGCTCTGGACTACTCAGGTGGGTCCAGTGTAATTACCCGGGCGTTTAAAAGTGGACGAGGGCGGGACAAGAGAAAGTCAGGGGGCGGTGTCACTACGGAAGGGTGGTCCTGGAGTTACAACGCTGCTGGCGTTAAAGATGGAGGAAGGAGCCAGGAGCTGGGAGCCGAGGAGTGAGGTGGCCTGGAGAAGCTAGAAAGACGGAGAAACAGTCTTCCTGAGAGCCTCCAGAAGGGACTTCCACCCAGTGAGACCCGTGCCGGACTGCTGTGCTACAGAACTGTAAGTCTGTGTTGTTTTAAACCTCTTAAGTTTGTGGTAGTTTGGCCCCAGTAGGAAACTAACACACATATCAAAGTTGAAAAACCTGCAGCTATAAGAAAAAGGGAAATACTCAAGGAAGTGTCAGCAAAAAGGTAGAAGGTGGCATCCTACAGAGACTGGGGACCAAAGGAGTTCACCTACCATGGGTTGTGGGTTTCAAGGCACTGGGTGGGGGTTCGGGGGTGGCTGGGCAGGCAATGGTACGTTGAGGTGAAGCAACTCGGAGCCACATGGGGATAAGAGTACTGAAAAGTACGGCAGCTGTGTTTTTCCAGCAAGTACCCCCTCCCCTAACACAGCCCCGTACCTAGAAAGTGCACAGTGCTCCCAGAATGGCCCTGTGAGGAGGGGCCGTCGTTTGGGCAGTGAGCTGGGAGGCCGCTGCTGGAATGTAGGAAAGGGAAGGCAGGAACGAGAGGCAGGGCGGCGGGGGGTGGGGGCGGGGGCGGGGCAGGGTAGCCTTAACAAGGAAGAGAACCTTCTGAAAGCTCCAGTGCCCAGGCGCTCGGGGCCTCAGAGGCCTGATGGAGGAAGCCTGTATTCCAGTGCCTAACAGCACCTTTGTGAGAAGCTGCCAAAATTGTTAAGGTCCCGAGGAAGAACTCCTCCCTTAACAAGGCCGGGACTCCCGGTAGTGAAAACAGCTGTCTGATGGCTAAGATGACTTGAGCTGCTTCTGAGAGAGAAAAGTAGACATTAACAGGGAGCTCTGGACTACCGTGAAGTGGAAGAGCCCATGCACATGATGTAAGAAGCAGGGTGCTCACTAGTAATGAATGTGAACATGGGGCCAGAAACCTGTGAGGCTGGCATTAGGAGGGCCAAAGCCCACAACGAGCTGAAATATGCAGAATGTTAAGAAAAACAAAAGCCTTTTTAGGCTACAATCAGGAGAAAGCAAGGGAGAAAGGTCATTATATCAAGTACCTGTACATAAACAAGAGGGCACACCTTTGCTGAATTTAAGCTTTCTCAAAGAGTGATTTTTCACACAGCAGGCGTGGAGGAAAGGAGGTTAGGTAGTAGGCTGTGAATCTCCAGATAGGTGTGTTTCAATAAAGTCTTCAGGTCTCAGCAAATAATATATCTTGGATTAGCAAATGTGATGGTAATACTGGTCAATGACATGGGAGAAGTCATAGGAACAGAAAAAAAAAGCCACAGTCAGAGGTCAGTGTTATTCCCATTTGCAGGAACAAAAAGGCTCATCTCCTAGTCTATAACCGAGTACTTCTGAAGAGATGAAAACAAGAACAGAAATCGGTATTAGGTGCCTGTTTTTGGTCCGACAGCATGCTGGGAATTTTTGCTATAAACTACCTCATTGAATGTGAATCCCTAGACAAAAAGAAGGGGTTATTACTCATGTACTTGGGAGTTCTATGAGAACCAGTTATGCCAGACCTACACTCCCTGTTCTGGAAGGGAAACACAGGACACACTAAGTCACTTTCTGAAGTAACTGGGTTATCTACATATATACAAACTGGAGACCTGTAGCCTGGATGACAGCCTGGGGTATCCTCAGAGCTATAGCAGTGACGGGACCCCAGGAAGCCCTCAGTATCTGTTGAAGGAGGGACAGCTCAGAGCTGACCGGAAGGTTAACCAAGTGCTCCATGTCAGTGGACAGCCTGGGGTCTCTAGGGAGACTATGATGTTGACCTTAACCTAGACAAGCTCAACGTTTGAATCAGTAACTGAGATGAAGCCAAATTCCACACTCCCAAGATAATATACTATGGGCAGCTAATTTATTAGAAGCCAAAGTTAGGATTAAAAAGGTCTCCACGGCAAGGAGAAATGAGTGACATGAACAAGATAGAATTTAAAAAGGTTTGATATCAAGTCCTATACTTGGGCTTAAAAAATCAGCTGCACAATAGGATGAGGGAAACGTAGTTTAAGAGCAGTTCATCTAGGAAAACCCGTTTTCATTCATTGCAGGCTCAGAGGCAGCCATCTGGTCAAGTAGTCAAAAAAGCTAATGCAATTCTAGGCTGCATTAAAAGAAGACAATCCCTCCACTAATATCATCTCTGGGGAACGCACTCAGTTCTGGGACTTGGGTTTTAAAAGGATCAATAACTTTGAAATGTGTATGCTGGGAGGAGGGAAGGATCTATGCTAGCGAATGCTCTGGAAACAAGAGCTACTGAAGGAACTGAGGATGCTGGACCTGAGCGGGGGTGGGGCGAGGGGGAGTTGGGTATGGGGTGTGGTACAATCTGTAAATAGGATGCTGTCAAATGGAAAAGGGATTTCACTAGGGATGGCAAGTGGGTTTTCTCTCGTGAGCCTGTTCTAATCAACTAGTACTGAAGGCTGGGAACTGATGCAGAGAAAGAATGGGAATAAGTGGTCAGCGGGAAAGACTGCTGTGATCAGTGACCCACGTCTGCTATGGGGTCAGGAGAGGGCAGTGCCTACATGAGTGCCAAGTCTTTGCTAACTCTAGACTTGACAGACTCAGTCCAAACTGTTCCGGAGGCCAAGCCTATGGCTGCTCCTTCGAGGTTACATGGAAAGACATTTGGGTCGATATATGGGAACTTTGTTAACAATAAAAGAATTACCGGGCTGCCTTGTGAGATGACTGGCCCCACTCCTCCCTCCATCACCAGACATGTGTAAGGGGAGGCTGGAAGGGCACCAGTGCCGGAGTGGAGGATGAACTCCGTGAACTTAGAAGTCCCCTCCAACTCATCGATTCGAGTTCCAAAGCTATCCATTTTTACAGCAAACCTCTTTACAGCCTCTACAGAGGAACTTCTAGAAAACTTCCCTGTGCTCCCCACAGCGGTGGCTTCAGTAGCTCCGTAGACCTGCGGCCGCAAGACTAATCTAGTGTGGCACAGGACATGTCTACTGCAATACGCGGGACGAGTACTATCGACAGTCCTCTAATATGGCATTTTGCTGTTAATATTACAAGCAATTTCTCTACCTCCAAGTGAGATCATGCTGGCTTTTGGACATTTAATCTAACTGTATTCAATTTGGGAACCAAAGGTGGGGGTAAGAGGGTCTTCAGGCACAGATGTGTTTTTATTGAACAGTATTTACAACACAATAACATCATCTTAGAACATTTTTCATCATTTCACTATTCTGCTCAAAAGCGTTAATGCCTCCACTTATAGGATCAAGTACCAACAGTCCCATGTTGCTCTGCACAGCTTTTCTCAGCCTCATTGCGCTAGCTCGGCTAGAGCTGACTGGTCTATTTAAGTTTTCTCTCCAACTCTGATTGTGTCCACTCCAGAGTTACTTTTCTCTTCATGCGTGGCATACACTCCCTGATTCCGTGTGTAAACCTTATCCATCTTTCCAAATCCAACCAAATCCCTCCTCTAATTATTTCCCAGTACCAACCTACAGGCTCTTGACGTCCTATTGAAGTCCTGTCACTCTTGCTGTCTCTTAAATTTTTTAAGCCCTTCATGGCCAGGGGTCAAAATTCATTGCGTTCTTCAGTGCTGTTCACAAAGCCAACACTCAATTTAGTCCCTGTAGGACTTAGATACCTTATACCCTTGGGGTTCTGGGGTCAGGCCGGGTTACTCACTGCTCTTGAGAGGGTCCTGATTTTTTTAAATTCCTTTCAGAATTTCCCCCTTCCTCCCATGCCTTATGCCCACCATCCAAATCGTACCCATCAAGGTCCTGATGAAGTCACACTTTTCAGATGTGCCCACTCGTGTCCACCTCCAACCACTTCACCTTTTTCTAAACTCTTTACCCAGTCTACAGTGCATCTCAGTTCTTAGCCAGTTCTCTGGCTACTATGTTTTCGTTACTGCTTGTCGAGAGACTGGTTCCTTTTCTAAGTAGATTTAAGCATCTTGGAGACTCGGCTCTCCTATCTTCCTCACAGCACGCACAACAGTGGGTAGTCAAAGTTTAGCTCACTGGTTTTCAACCAGGGGCGATTCTGCCTCCCAGAGGACACCTAGTAATGTCCCGAGACAGTCAGGGGTCAGAACCAGGGCGGGGGGAGGTGCTACTGGCACCCAATGGTAGAAACCAGAGATGCTGCTCAACATCCTACAATGCACAGGACAGCCCCACCATGAAAAATTTTCCGGCTCCAAGCGGCAACAGTGCCGCGGTTAGGAAACACAAGGGTATCTGAATGGCCTAGTGAAAGGTGAAAGAAGCGAAGCCCCGAGCCGGCGGACGTGTGCCGCTTGCAGGTTGAAAGGTGGTGTGGACTGGCCGGGTGGGCTGCGATGGGCTCAGCCGGCCCGCGCAGAGGGGAGAAACAGGGCCAACACCCAGGTCTGGCGGGGCCTGGAATGTCCCCCAGAGTCCTGAAGCGCCAGCCTCCCACTCGCTCCATCCCCTACCTGCGGCGAGACCACTGCAACGGAAACGCCCAGTCAGTTCTGGAGGAAGACCCGCGCTCCGCAGCTTCTGTTGGGACTCCCGAAGCTGTCCTCGCGAGACTCCACGGTTGCGCTCTCGCGATACGTGGGCGGGGCTTCCGGTCCGGCCGGAGCGCGGCGCCACCGGAGCGTGCGCCGTAGTGCCCATGGGGGACCGCGGGGTGGGGAAGGGTCAGCTCTGAGCTGCGCCGACTCAGGCGGCTCCTCGCCTTCTTACCTTCTCTCTGCCCGCCTCCGCGCTCCAGCCGCGGGGACAGTCGCGCGTGGCCCAGCCCCGCCCACCTATCAGAACGCGGAGAAAGGCAGTGCGCGTCTCGGGCTGAGTTCTAGTTGGGAGTGCGAGGCAGGTGTTCGGTTGGCTTGTTTCCCGGTCCTCGGGTAGAGCATGGCTCTGAGGGCAGGGACTTGCCCTGGTCCTGAGCCTGCTGCACGGGCGAGGTCTCCGACTGTGGCCTGGGCGGGGCGGGGCGGGGCGGGCTCGGGAGGTAGCCTACACCAGGTGGGTCAGGTAGGTGCACGGGGCCCCTCCCGGGCGGGCGGAAGTGGAGCCTTTGTTTGTTTCCGTTAGACCTCTTCCCCCTGGGCCGCTTAAGGCTTCTTTGGAGGCCACTGGTTTGTCTACAGAAATTCACATCCCTTCTGCCCGCCAGGTAACCCGTAACCGTTTTCTCTTCCAGTCCACCATGACCCCCAAACCTGACGTGTTGAGTCAAGATGAATTGCGGAAAAAACTGTACCAGACGTTTAAGGATCGGGGTATATTGGACACACTCAAGGTATCAGTTTTAGGCGTATCTGTACAGCTTTTACAAGTGTCACCTGTAACAAGTAATCCACATTTAAATACATACGTGTCTTGGGTGTTAAAAATGGCATGATGTGCAGATTGTACTGGTGAATTACGCTGTTCTGGCCCTGTGTAACTCTTTAATCCTGGAACAGTAAACACGTTTTAGTAAAGTTAGATTTGTTTTAAAAAGCTGGCTTACAGATTTCTCAATCATTAAGTGGTTTAGACATAGTCATACATGAACGGGGGAAATTGACACCATAGAGAAGACATGAAGGGATTGCTTGCTGTAGAATAGTTTGGGGGAATGAGACGTTTCTTTCAAATATGTTGGAAGATACAATTACTGGACAGGAAATATTTATTAGTACACCTTATAAGTTACCAGCAAGGGGTCGAATTAGCTCAGATGTGTTTTTATTACTTACATACATTTCAAAAGAATATTTTACACTTAAAATGGGAAGGGAAAGTAAGCTGGATTTTTTTCCTTCCTCTTCCTCCATTGTTTTTTATTTATTATTTTTTATTCTTTTTTGGGGGGAGGTAATTAGGTTTTTATTTATTTATTTTAATGGAAGTACTGGGGATTGAACCTAGGACCTTGTGCATGCTAGGCACGCACTGCAGCACTGAACTATACCCTCCGCCACTCCTCCATTTTTTTTTAACATTTTTTATTGATTTATAATCATTTTACAATGTTGTGTCAAATTCCAGTGTTCAGCACAATTTTTCAGTCATTCATGGACATATACACACTCATTGTCACATTTTTTTCTCTGTGATTTATCGTAACATTTTGTGTATATTTCCCTGTGCTATACAGTGTAATCTTGTTTATCTCTTCTACAATTTTGAATCCTCCATTGTTTTTGTAACTTAAAAATACATCAGACTCATCAGAAACACAGAAAAGCATAAAGAAGAAAAGTCATCTCTTATACAACCACTAATTGGCATAGTGTTGTGTGAGTTTGTGTATTCTCTTTAGTTTTATATAGTGAGTGTTTTCCTGTCTCCTTAAAAGTTTCTTGAAATCCTCACTTCATTGGCACCAGGCACATCTTTGGATGGATGGGTAATTTCTGTACCAGTCCCCTGTTACTGAATATTCAGGTTATACCCAGGTCTACACAGTCCTTCAATTGCATCTCTCATTTTTTGCCTAGGATAGGTGAAGTGGCCCTAATGAATCAAAGGGCATAAGCATTTTTCAGGCTCTTGGTGTATGCATCTTGTTCTAAAAGGCTGTAATACAGTTGACCCTTGAACAACATGGGTTTGAACTGCTCAGGTCCACCTATATGCAGACTTTTTTCAAAAACTCCCTACTACAGTACTGTACTGTTTATGCTTGATTGAATCCTCAGATGCACAGCTGGGTATCTGGAGGGTGCCCCTAACCTCTAGGGGTTTGAGGATGAACTTTGTATCCCACCAGCAGTTTGAGAATGTTTGTATCTCTCCAATATTATGGTTCTGACATGTTTTAAACCAATCTAAGATTGAGAAACCCTTGTGTTTTAATATTCATTCTTTTGATTATTAATGAGGTTGCACATATTTTCTGTGGATTGGCAGTTCATGTTACTGCCCTTTTTTTTCCCCCTAGGGTGCTAGTGTTTTCTTATTGATACATAAGAGCTACTTTAATAGAAACTTAACCTTTTTTCCATTTTTGTGGCAGTGTTATGTCAGCGTTCAATTTTAATTTGGCTCTAAAAATACTGAAGTTACATTTTTATACGGTCAAATTGATTGTTTCACTTTTTTGTTGGGTAGTCTCAGTAAGTGCTTTTCCACTAAAAAAAAATATAGAACTTTTTAAGTTCTTAGAAAAGGTTTGTTTTTTTCACTTAACTCTTGAGCCCACCTGGATTTAATTGTAGTACAGAATGCATTAGTGCACTTTCTTCTGTGGAATGGCTCTCACATCTGGGTGTGGCATGTGCTCTTTTACTGTCCTTTGGATTTAGTTTGATGGTGTTTGACTTCATGTCTGTGGTCACAGTTGATATTGACCAATCATTATCCTTTTTGAGGTAGCCTTGTTTGGCTTTGGTATCAGGGTTACACTAGCCTCACTCACTTCACAGCTGCGGCCTCCTCTAGAGAATTACTGTGTTTTGTTTTTTTGCTGACCCCGTGGTTTCTCTTACTCTACCATGATCAGTGGCACGGTGGAGTTTTACTGTCTCCAGCTGAGCTACATTACTTTCTCGGTTCAGCGACTAGCCTGGATGAGTTCTAATGTTAAAAATCATTGAATTTTTTAGTGACCGAATTCACATTCTATTTGAGTATCGGAAAAGAATTTGTATTTATGATTAAGTACAGAGTCATACCAGTATCTGTTAAATGAAGTTTATGAAATCTTTTTTTCCTTATTTGGAGTCTACTCTGTTAATTTCTGAGAGATGTGCAGAGGGTCCACAAGTCTTGTCTCTCCCACTTCCCCTCCTCCCACAGTAATTGTCCTTATTTCTGTCTGAGGGACATTACAGTCTTTAATGCTGAAGAGACTTCCCTTTTTGCTTTGGCTGCTGGAAAGCCCCAGCCAGTTTTTGGATTCTTTCTAGCGGATGCTAGATGGCATGCTTTTTATGTTAAGATGGAAATTCATCTGTAATGCCATTCCACAGTTCACTACTCTTTTCCTTGTACCTTGCTTTTATCCACTCATTGAATTTTTATCCTGTTTCAGTACTTGTTTGTTTGATGCTCCAAACTTTTTTCAGTTTTTTATTTTTTATGCTTTTTTTCATTTTTCAGAATCAACAGAATGCAGTAATCCAATCATAAAGGACAGTCAGATGTGCTTACACATATTCAAGAATTAAGCTGGGTCTAAATATATTTTTACTATGTTACAGATCTAATTAAACTACGTCTAAATTTTATTGGTGGAGGATGCTTTAGTTTCTTGTTTTATTTCAGTTACTTAATTGTATTAGATGAACAAAAGCATGTATATTTTGTTCAGTGTAAGTGTCTTTTACTGTGGTATTTTAGACGTATGTATAATAAGTTCTGTTCTATACTGGTAGTTATATACTATTCAACTCTCTAGCTAAAGGATAGAAAAAAGGTGTGACAAGAACTCCGTTTGTTTCTTGCTTATATTCTAGTAATAAGATTTATTAGGTGTTACTGACTGCTGAACTCCACCTAGACGGTGTACTCTTAAGCTCAGCCCAGTTGTATGTTTCCAGATTATATGCAAAATAGATTAGAACAAATGTCCAGCAGTCCGGTAAATTTAGGGGATTTTCTTAAAACCGAGATGAATGATAATGCTAATGTTAAGACCTTGAGAAATTGATCAACTCTGAACCTAAATTTCCTCACTTATAATATGTAGGAAAATTACTGTGTTTCTCAGTATCTTCAGTTGTAAATAATCTATATGTGAAAGTGAATCTTAATACGCCTTCTTTGGGTTTATTGATTTCTCTCGTATATGGTATTTCCCTTTTGGGTACCCAATTTCATTTTGATCAGTATAGTATAATATATTTAACTCTATTATTTTCGTATCCTCCAACAATCTGCAGAAAGGTGAGGAGGTTGCAGAATTTTCTCCTGTATTTGATAACCTGATGAAAAGTGGCTGAAATGGGCTCATAGGGCAGTGAAATTGGAGTCTCCCGCCTTCGGGCTAATCACCAGTTCGCTTGGCAGCTGGGGAAAGAAAGCTGCTTGTCTAACGGGGTCAGATAAAGCGCGGAAGGTTTCTGCCTTGGGGCTATGGATCTAGCCCTGTTCTGGAAATCAAAGGAAGGGTTCTAATTCGTGTGGCAAACCTGTGTGTCTCCAGTGCAGCAATCCTGCTGAAGTTGTTTTCCCTCTTGCTCCATTTTGTTTTTGATCCAGACCCAACTCCGAAAGCAGCTGATTCACGAACTGATGCATCCTGTGCTGTCTGGGGACCTGCAGCCCCCGTCCATTTCAGTGGAAGGGAGCGCCCTCTTGGTCGGCGCTTCCAACTCGCTCGTGGCAGATCACTTACGAAGATGTGGCTATGAGTATTCACTTTCTGTTTTCTTTCCAGAAAGTGGTTTGGCGAAAGAAAAGGTAACATCTTGGCTTTTCTGTCTCTGAATTTTCTGCCAGCAGCCTTTTCATCAGATGATAGTAAAGTGCTGCATAATAACTCAGTGCTCCTTGGCTAGCTGGGTCTGTTTATTGTTCATCTTTGGATTTACGTCATGTATTTATTACATAATGTAACAAAGGAGGATAAAATTTGATATTGTTACCAATTCCTTAGAATATTTTTGTTGTTGGGTTTTGGGAGGGTAATTAGGTTTATTTTTTAACAGAAGTGCTGGGGATTGAACCCAGGACCTCGTGCATGCTAAGCACGTGCTTTACTATTGAGCTATACCCACCCCCAATTCCTTGGAGTCTTAATTTATCTTTTGTAAAATTGTGATGTGTAGCGGGGAGGGTATAGCTCAGTGGTAGAGCATGTGCCTAGCTGGGGTTCAATCCCCAGCACCTCTGTTAAAAAATAAATAAACCTAATTACCTCCTCCACATTAAAAAAAAAATTGTGATGTGTAGAATCACTAAGTGTTTGAGAGCAAGGGTTCTCTCCCACTCCCCATCGTCTGAGACCCATACCCGCCCGTTCCTGTTGAACGTCTGCTGTGCACTGGGCATCGCAGGTCACAGAGCGGAATCCCGGGTCTGGAGAGGGGAGGTGATACCTGCCGTTTCTGTTGAACGTCTGCTGTGCGCTGGGCACCGCTGCTCCCACTGCAGCTGTTCCTTGTGTTTCAGAGGGGGTCTGGGGTCTGGAGAGGGGAGGTGATTTGCTCACGGTCATTTGATGTGTAAGTGACAACGCAGGGCAGTCAGTCGAGATCTCTAAAATGTGCTTTTTGTCACAGTACAGTTTTTTCAGGTATTTGTCTTTGTGATTATATAAGAAAAGTAAAGAATAATTTTTAAAAATCGATGGAGTTCTCAAATGTTAAAGACACATTTGACCACTTTTCTAATGATTTTAACTCTATTAAACATACTAATCACACTTTGTTATTTTAAAGGTAGGTATAGCAAACTTTCCTTAATTTTTAAATAGACTTAACTTTTTAGAGCATTTTAGGATGACAGAAAATGGAGCAGAAAGGAAGAGTTCCCATGGGCTCCCTGACCCCACACCCGCACAGCCTCCCGCTCTGTCAGCATCATTCACCATGTACATTTTTACACTCGATGAACCTACATGTGGTCACATCCTTATCACCTCAAGTCCCTAGCTGACATTAGGGTTCGCGCTTGGAGTTGTCCTGTGTTTTTACTGTTCAGCTTGGTCGTATTTGTCCAAAAGTTTGATATTCAGATGTTTTAAGAAAATAAGAACATGTTAGAATTGGAAAATTCTAAAATTTAAATATGCTGTATTCATTCACTAACAACCAAATAGTACCAACATTAGGAATTCTCTTTTGGCCCATCAATCTCTGAGTTTCTAATTTGATTTCATAATTTTGCTTATTGCATAAGTAACCATCAATTTTATAGTTATAGCAGTAATGATCTAGTTCACACACTTGACAGTTTCTATACTATAAAGTGCTGTGCAGAATACTTTCTTCAGAGGAAGACCAATTGAAAATATCTGTGTTCTCAGGATAGACATAGTAAATGAAACATACTGTAGTAGAATTACATATTAAAAATAGCTGCCCAAAATGTTTGACTAAAGTGTATCTAAAATAGTTTTAAACAGTCATAGTTGTAAAGACAGTAAAAACTTAGTTTATTCACATTTTGAAGCAATAGGTATTAAAATTAATTGCAGTTGAAAGACTGGAATTCACTCATATATTCATTGGTGCCTCAGATGTTTGTCATCTGTAAGGCGTTAACCATTTCGGTCATTTCTATTAGGCATATCATCTTTAATATGAAGTGTTTGGAGGTTAACTACATGATCAAGAGAGAAGTTTTATCCTTTTGACCTTAATGTTTATTGTAATTTATTCAATAGGATAAGAAAGCTTCAGTTTTACATTATGAACAGTTATCTTTTTTATTTAATATGAAGCATGATTCTTAGTATTATATTCAGCAGCATCCTCATTTATCTTTTAAACATTGATGTTAAAATGTCTACTTACTTTTTTTTTTTTTAAGGTATTTACTATGCAGGATCTGTTACAGCTCATTAAAATCAACCCTGAATCCAGTCTCTACAAATCACTGGTAGGAATGTTAAGTTTTCATAAAACTATGGTTTACTAATTATAACTGAATAGTTGAATAAAGGTAAAATATTTTCTTTTTATAGATTTCAGGATTTGATAAAGAAGACCAAAAAGGTAGGAACCTTCATCTTTCATTTTTAGAGAATAAGAATCTTTTTGTAACATGTTTTTTCCTATAAAAGTATGAAACCAAACATTTTTAGGGGGAAGAAAAGGGAATTTAATTTGAATCATTTGATTTTTTTTTCTTGCTGACAATACCTTACCTTTCAAAAAACAGAAAGAGTCATCTGTTTTGACAGATGTGGATCATTTCTCCCAAATTTCAGTCTTTTAATAGCTCTTAGTCCTCAAGTCAGAAAGCTGGACAGTATCAAGAGCCCTGCAAACAGACGGAAAGCCAGTCTTTGTAAAGATACCCACTGTTGGAAACATTTCCCCAAAAATAAAAAAACGGGAACATTTAGGTCAGTTGTCTTTGTATGCTAGGTATCCCCCTCCTGGAGTAAAATATACAGAGTATTAATATTTGCTTAAAGAATGAAATGTCTGTTCAGTAGTGTTTTTTTTATTAAGTGTTGATATAGGCCTGATAAATGACTGTAATTTTGGCTTTGATAATAACCTTCATAGCGTCCATAACTGCTCTGAGGTAATAGAAAATATACATATTGGTCTTTGCCCCCAGTTACTGGCACACAGCTCCTAAAACCCTTGTAATTCCCTCAGTGATAAGAACACGAGATGCATCTCTTGTTCTAATGTTGGTCTTTGGCGTCTGTTCTTGATAACAGGGCTCCTGAAGCCCCTGTAAGTTCCTGGGTGATAGGAGTGTCTTTTGTTCTAATGAGCCAACTCTGGGTGGGTCCCTGGACGAGGGCCAGTCTCTGGTCACCGCAGAGATCAAGGTGTGGTTACAAGTGTGGGATTTTCAGCCTCGCCCCCCCTCGCTTGAAGGCAGAGGGGTTGAAAGCGTATTACCAATTGACGGCACATGAGTGATGAAGCCTCCTTCAGTCCCCACAGGAAGGGGTTCACAGAGCTCCTGGGTTGGTGAGCACAGGCAGGCGCTGGGAGGGCGGTGCGCCTGGGGAGGGCAGGGAAGCTCTGGGCCCCTTCCCACCGTGCCTTGCCCCGTGCATCTGTTCCATGTGACTGTTCGTCTGCATCCGTGATCACATCCTTTAACAAACTGGTAAACATACAGTATTTCCCAGCATTCTGTGAACTGCTCTGGCAGATTAGCCGAACCCTGAAGTGCATCTATGTATGAGGGGACGGAAGGGCGGGGCGTCTGGTGGGACTGAAGCCCTTAACCCACAGGATCTGATGCCACCTCTAGGTAGACAGTGTCAGAATTGAGTTAAGTGGTAGAACAGCCTGTGGTGTCACAGAGAATTGCTTGGCGTGGAAGAAAACCCTGCACGAGAGGTGAGCAGGGGTGTCGGGACTGAAGTATTGTGACGCGTTCTGTGTACAAGAAAAGCAGAGTCGCGGGGAGGGAACGGGGTGGGTGTTCCCCACGCACGAGGAGGGCTGAGGGCTTTTCCCCTTTACGGCTGCTGTGGGTGCCACGCCACGGTGACACTTGATGGTGGACTTTGTATTTTGAGCATAAGCTTGTCGACTGCCTGTAATGCATGTTCTTGAGATCTTTTTAAAAAAATCTGTGACGTTATGTAATGGCCTTTGCGTGTTGGTGTGGTCCTGGGTTTTGTCTGTTGCCAGCACTGCTACCATCCCTGCTAGGACATTCATTCAGAACTTTCCATTCGGCAAACACTTGAGTACCTGCTTCCTGCCAGTCATGAGTCTGTGACTTAACTGCCTGGTCTCCTGGGAGTGATGTCAACAGCGGATGAGTAAAGTGGATCACACGGTAGTCTGGACCGCTTGCAAAGGAGCTGGTCAGTACCGAAGTGGAGACTGGTGGGTGATCCTAGATTCCGGATCCTGAGGCAGTGCTGTCTGGATCACTCTGGTGATGGGACCGTCTGTATCTCTTGTTTGGTACAGTAGCCACTAGCTGCCTGTGGCTACTGAGCGCCTGAGACATGGTTAGTGTGACTGGAGAACTGAGATTGTAACTTAACTAGCTCCCTGTGAGTAGTGCCTGTCACATTGGACAGCACAGGTCTAGGTAACCAGCTGCTGTCTGTAGCTTAGCTGTTTCAGGAAGACACTCAGGGCTTGAAGGGCTACTGTGAAATAATCTGTGTACGTATAGGTGTTTATGTTATTAAAAGTCACCTTTCACCTTTAAACACTCTTTAAATCTTTCTACTCCAGAAAGACGTTTGGCTGGCAGCTCTTAGCTGCTTCAGCCAGCACCCTTGTAAAATGTGGAAGACTCAGGAAAACTGAGTTGCAGATGTGTCAGGACTCCCCGTGGTAAACTTGGGTGGAACTGTTTGCTAACAGTGCAACAGCTGCTGTTAAATGAAGTGATTTTCAAGTGAAGGGATGGCTCGCAGTTAAGAGATTGAGACCATCGGGAAGCACGTAGGAAGATACTTTGTACCTAAGTGTTGTCTGTCCCCTGACTGAGGCCTGTGGTCTTCTGTTACTGTGTCTGTGCTGAGGGTGCTGGTGTGTTGTGTGGTTAGAGTACTCTTCTCCTAGATTCCACTCACCTGTCCTTCCCACCCCACATCTGTCCTTTCAGAGATAGTGATGCCCAGAAAATAGCTGGGCAGGAAACAGGGACACTGGCTCTTTTCTATGTGCAAGTGAAAATCCTTACCTATGATTGGCAGAAGAATAGATACATACACCAGTGGGGCAGAACAGAGAGCCCCAAAATAGACCTACACAGACACAGTGAACCGGTTTCTGACAAAGGCAATCCAGTGGAGGAACGATAGTCTTTTCAGCAAATAGTACTGGATCAACTGGACATTCATATGCGTGAAAGTGACCCTAGACGTAGACCTCACAGGTGGGAAAGTATTCTTGCGTTACCGTCGTGGTGGGATGCGTGGCGCCGGGCATTTGCCACAACCTGTAGGACTTTACACAGAGTGCACCTTCATGCACATAGAGGAGGCCCGGGTGATCTCAGAGTGGGATGCAGACCATGCCAAAACAAGCTCGCTGGGGTAACCTCACTGACGCGGGCGGGGGAAAGACGCTGAGCTCGCATACTTCGGGAAGGACTGAAGACTCAGCCTCAAGGCAGAAGGAGCTGCGCGTAGGCGATGCATTCGGGGTGAGAGTCCTTTCTCATGGGGGTCCTGGCAAACAGTTCTGAAACCGTTCTACACGTAGACTGGAAGTGAGCAATGCGGTAAATGGGCAGTAGGCGGCGGGAGCCAGGTCTTCCCTGTTGGAGTGGGAATTTACGGATGAGCAGGAGGGAGGCGCGGATCCTCCGCGTGGTAATGGAGTAGTTGGAGGCCTCAGGATGAACTCATGTTTAGCCTGATGTAGGAGGAGACGATCTATAGATATTTATAGGTGTGTATGTGTGCACAGGTTAGTGTGCGCTCATATCTCCTTGCTCTGCAGGCTGAGGGGCTAGGGGCAGTGCCCTCCCCCCTTCCCCAGGCACAGTGAGCGCACCTCGAGCCCAGTTTCGGGCATTAAGATGCGGTTCCTCATAACCATTCCAGAATAATAGGAACCAGGGCTCCTTGGAGCAATGGCTGATTCCAGGAATGGGGCAGAGACTGTGCAGGGTGAGCTGGGAGCCTCTTACAGGCCAGGACCTGAGGAAGTGCTTAAGAAAAACGTCCACAGTGAAAGTGCTCCCAAAGGCCGAGGCTGGAACACTTGGAGCAATAAAGTAAAAGATGGGGTGATATAAATGAATTAGAGAATTATAATTACCAAAGTATAAAGTAGTCCCTATGGATGTAAATGACTGAAAAACGAGGAGACTCGACAAATCCTGCTTGGCGGAGGTGTGTGTGTGGAGGGGAGCGGGGGGAGTGGAGCTAATTGGGGCTGCGGAAAGCACTGCAGAGCGGAGAAGACGCATGGCGTTAGCAGCACTGTGCTGGAAGAGCGCATCTCTGCAGATGATCTACTGCAGGATGTTGAAGATTTCTGCGCAGCGTTGACTTGTTCCATAGAGGGAGCCACGATCTGGCCTCAGCACGACAGCAGGAAGGGGTGAGGTGAGAACAGGCTGGCTGCAAACGGTCAAGAGAAGAGGGTGGATGAGGCAGAAGAATTGCCAGGCAGTGGAGATGAAGGGGCAGAGTTTATATGTGCAGTGGGGGAGGTAGAAAAACAGTGTTTTAACATCTTCAGCAGGAAAGAAGAACTCTGAACTTGGCTGATGCAGAAGTCCGTTCAGCTGTCTTAAGAAACTGAAAACTCTGAAAGTAATTTATACTCATGGCTTAGAAAGTTAGAAACTATTCAGGAAGGTATAAAATGAAAGAAAAATAGAAGTTTCTGCCCATATTCTCTGATTTCACTTTCTGCTGATAACTAGAATGAGAAGTGTCTTGTTTATTCTACCAGAATTTAGTTTATGGAAGTAGGTCTATATATGTAATTAAAACGTGTATACCCATAAATGGGATCATATGGCAGATACAGTTGTGTGATTTGCTTTCTTTGTGCACCAGTGTATCTTTGTCTAGCTGTATACTTGGACTAGTTATTTTTAAAGGATGTATTTAGCCCCCTGTTGATGGAGATTTTTATTGTTTTATTGTTTGGTTTTTTGCCATGAGGAACAGTGTGCAGTGTACACTCCTGTCCCCTTGGGAGGGTAAACTCAAAGAGGTGGGATGACTAGGTCCAAGGGCACTTGCATTTTGAACATGCGTAAACACTGACAGATTTCCCTCCCACGCGAAAGGGCACGCCTGCTTCCCCACTCCCTTGCCGACACTTAGATTGCTAAGGTTACAACTTTGATAAATACACTTACTGGGAAAATAATGGTCTTTCTGTTCTAGTATTTATTTGCATTTGTTTATGATTTTGTTCATGTTTATTTGACATTTAAATTTTTTCCCTATAAAATCTGTTCACAGCTTACCCTGTTTTTCTCTTACTGATTTGTAAAAGCTCTTTAATATTATGAAAATGCATCCTCTGTCTCCCTATTATGGCAAATATTTGTTTCCAGTGTATCTGTTGTCTTTTGACTTTATTTCATGCCTTACATAAGTTCTTTTATATTCGATGATTATTTCTCCTTATTCCTTTGAGGTTTTAGTGTCATGCTTGGAAAGACCTTTCGTCAGAAATTATTCTTCAAAGTTACATAATATAAAAAAGATAATGTTATAAAACCAAGATTGCATAAACAGTGATTGAGCAATGGTTGAATGAAAGGAAGTTATGAAATGAATCTGTATGTTGTGTTTTTTAGGTTTTCTCATGCAGTTTCTGAAAGAATTGGCAGACTATCATCAGCCTAAAGAGAGCTGCAATATGGAAACTCAGACAAGCTCAGCGTTTCCCATCAAAGACTCTCTCGGTAATTGTAGCCATCTTCCATAATTTCAGTTCTTCTCTTTTCTGTTTGAATGAAGGAGATGTTCAGATGTCCCGTATTATGTGTTTGTTCCTTGCCTGGGAGGGATGTAGGCTGCCAGCGGCAGGGCCACTCATTTTTTCTGAATCGTTGCTGGGAGGGACCAGGAGCTGCTCTCCAGGGCTGCTCCTCCCTTCACGACCGCTGGGGCTGTGCTTCCCAAACCTCGCGGGAACCAAAGGCCCTCTTGTGTGCTGGGTTGAAGCTCTCTTGACTAGGAGGGTCCTCCCTGTGCGCATCTTGCTTTCTTTTTTACAGACACTAAAGTGAGAAATCCTAGACTGTCTGCTTTGCAGAGAACTAGCAAAGTCAGTGGGCCATCAGTTCGTTTCGTAGTTGAGGAAACTGAGATCAGCAGGGGAAGAGCAGCTTGGCGACACTCAGTCTGGGTCAGGACTGATAGTAGAGTCTTAGTTTTCGGTCCCTGATCCAGAGCCCTTTCCACTGTACAGTCTTTCTTTGATAGTGTCCTGCCCTTCAGTTGTGTGCTCAGGAGAGAAGGGAAGCAGCTGGCCAAAGCGACGTGCTGAATCAGCTTCTTGGCCCTTCTTACTCTTAAAGAGCACTGACGCCTTTAACTTGTAAAAGCCTGTAGTTTGCAATGACTGTGTCGTATGACTAGGCCATCAGTTTATTTAGGTGTAGGTTCTGTCCCATTAGAAGCAGAACATGCTTATTCTAGAGCAGCTCTGGTCAATAATGTAAGCCACATGTGTAGTTTGAAATTTTCCAGTAGCCACAGTAAAAAAAAAAAAATAGGTAAGAAGAAACGGGAAATATGCTTTCGTAATGTATTTATTTAACCTGGTATTTTTAAAATACTGTTACAACATGAAAGTAATATAAAAATATTAATGAGATATTTTACATTTACTCTCTGTCCTCAGTCTTTGGTATCTGGTGTGTCTTTTACACTTAGAGGACGTCTCATTTTGGACTAGTCACATTCCAAGTACTC